AGATCAACATCATATTGACTTATGATGAAAACTCAGATGAGAAACCCCTTGGATTAGTTCAAAATAGTTGTTTTATTGAAAATACTTTTTTCCATTAAACAACTGAGAACTAATCCAAGAATTCCTCTCATCCTATTTTTCACCATAAATTAATATAAGACCAATATCATATTGACTTATGATGAAAATTCAGATGAGAAAACTCTTGGATTAGTTCACAATAGTTGTTTTATGGAAAAGACTTTTTTTCATAAAACATTTGTAAAGTAGTTCAAGAGTTTTTCTCATCTAATTTTCGCCATAAATTGATATTGGTAACCTATGATGAAGACTCAGATGAGAAAAACTCTTGGGTTGGTTCACAATAACTGTTTTATTGAAAATACTTTTTTCCATAAAACAATTATGAACTAATCCAACAGTTTTTCACCTCTGAGTTTTCATTATCCTATATGGTTAAGCAAGAGTTAACGGCTTCGTCATTTTTTATCTTTGGTTTCCTTTTCGGGTAGGCGATAGTGAAGGAACGGGCGAATTTTGGTGTACGTATGTGCTAGTGCTAGTGAGAAGATTAGCGCTAAGATTGACACTTCTGCATATCTGCTTTATTTAGTATTATTCATACTTTTAGAATGTTTCAGAGCCACCAAGTATATGTACGGAATAATTAGCAGTATCATCATCTTTCGCAATAAGAGTGTGAAATAACAATTTAATATCCCCAGATGTCCTTTTTATACCCAAGCGTATCCTTTTGAGCATTTACCATTTTAATTTGTACAAAAATATACGTTAAAGTAGGCAACTATAGTTACATCAACGTAATCTGGGAAACCAGAATTACAATAGCACAATTTTTTCCCGTGTGGGGAGCCTGTAACCCCCATCGGGCGCGTCCCCAGGTGGCGGATAGGGGAAAACCGGTTAGCAGTAATCCGGTAAGGGGAACTATCAACTTTCCCTCGCGGACCAACAGGCACTTATGTAGGTAATAAAGTTCGCTGATAATATTTATAATGATATGATATTTTAACTGGTATTAAACTATTAGTTAGGTCGGTCAAATTAAAATAAAAGTGGGGATTTTGCAAAAGACGCTTTCACTTTTGCAAAATTAGATAATGTCTTGTTAGAAAGTAAAATAGTGGGAGGTATTCAAGATCAGTTTCACTTTTTCTTTTGATGTATTGAAAACGTAAATAGGCATAGAGAAATTAAATAATCAAAATGTGAAAAGTGTTTTATTAATTTTTTTACAAAAGTGGTGCAATAGAAAGCGATAATACAACATTAACAATCAATTATGTATCAAAAAACTATTACGTTAAGGGTTTCCAGAACCAGAACCGTAAGTTTTATCCCATTCGATGTACTGATCCAAATCCTTCGAAGAAACACTTGCTCTTACAACAGTAAACGATTTAAAGAAATCGTCAACAGCTACAGGTCGAACCTACACAACATATATGTCAATGAAATTTTACAACTTGAAAAGAAAAATTGAAACCATACTTCAGTAATATCAATTTGATCGAGTTTACGGCAATCTACGGATCGTATTGGTTCTAAGGCAGCCTCAGAACATAAGTTACGTAAATCGGCTCCCGAAAATCCTTCAGATTTCCTAGCAATTTCATCGAAATCATTTCCATTCATTATATTTCGTTCTTTTGACAATAATCTTTGTAACAAATCAAGTCGCGCCTGAAAACAAATACAATCATTATTCAAAATGTTCCTGATTACAAACAAAATACAGTCACACATTAAAGAATAGTGAAGTGATATCGAAAATATGTTATTAAAAACCAGTAACAAAGAAAAACATCTGAAGCTAAAACTTTGCTGTTACTCACCTCATAATCTGGAAGGGGAATGTAAAGTCTTTTGGTAAATCTCCGTCTGGCCGCTTCGTCAAGTTCCTGGGGTCTGTTTGTGGCACCGACCACCAAAATACGATCCTCGCTTTCAGTTGTGGCTCCATCCAATTGAACCAGAAACTCAGTCTTAATCCTCCGACTACTTTCATGTTCAGTTTCATTACGTTGAGACAACAGCGAATCAACTTCGTCTATAAAGATTACCTGTAACATCTAAAATGCAGGAAATCTAAAATCACAGAAAAAAGGACACACACCGCTGGTTGATGACATCGCGCAACTGCAAACAAAGCTCTAACCATTTTTTCTCCATCTCCAATCCATTTGGAAGTAATGGAAGATGCACTTATGCTAAAAAACGTGGATTTGCTTTGAGACGCAATACATTTACCTTAAATGAAAACTTAAAATTAAATCGATAAAAAGGAAAATCCTTGTACAAAATAAGTACCAATAAGTGTTTTTCCAGTTCCTGGAGGACCAAAAAGTAATATACCCTTTGGGGGTCTTCTTAATCCTTTGAAAATATCTGGGCGAAGCAAAGGCCACACAACAGCCTCCTGTACTGCTCTTTTTGCTGAATGCAGTCCAGCTATATCATCCCAAGTTAATTTTTGTTGGATGTCCATTATTTCAGACCGTATTAATTCCACCATGCGTGGTTCAATATTTTTTAATCTCTCGTCAACTTCCTCATTTTGAGAGCTACCCCTCAATTCACTATTTTGAGAACTTTTTTCATTTTCCATGTTTGCAAGCAGTGGTGATACGAATTTAGTACTAAACCCCCTACGTGGTCCCAATTTTCTTTTTTGGGCAGTAAATGATTCTTTCATTTGATTGTCTTTGTTGTTTTGAACATTAACTTCTCGAGCTGTCATGAAATCATTCTTAGGATTACTAAACATTCTAGTGCCCTTAGTTTTGTCCATTTCGTTATCTGTAATTCTTGGTTTCAAATAATTTGGAAAACTAGGAACTTTCCTCATTCTAGGAAATTCTGTGGTAATTTTTATTGAAGTGTTCCCAAAAAATAATGAAATGAAATGATCGAAACATTCCTTAGTGTTTATTTCTAATGATCCACAAGAAGTACCTATTTTGAGGCAATTATGTGGTTTTATAAGGTCATCAAAATGAGTACTTTTATTAGTCCCTACAAATGTGTAACCATTTCCAAAATTGATAGATTGTTCAAAGAACCGTTTGTATGCTTGCATTTTCTTATTAGATACATTATGGTTGAAATAATTCAATTTGTTTTTTAAAAGATACAAAGAATTCTGATTGTTTAACCTTAAATAAAAAATTAATTGTTTATTTAGAAGCGAAATAAATATAGTAGAAGTTTACAATTCTAGAGATGCTTTGTAAGAATGAAAAATCAATTTTCTGGCCTTAATTGTTCTTTTTCCTAAAGGGTCATCTTCTTCAATGATATTGAGACGATTTGGAATACAAACATCACTTATCATGTTTAACAAAGTGTTAACTTTTGTGAAGTGTTGTGAATTTTTAATTCAGGAAAATTTGAATTAATAGTTAACTGTCATTTCCATAGAGTCATTACTCAACTGTCCAATGACAATCCACTGGTACAATTTATTGAAGGCGTTCAAAATATGGGCATGGGCGTTCATCAATCTTCAACATAGATATGAAATATAGAATGATATGACAAACAAGATCATAGATTAAATTCATTTCAATACTTAACCCAACATATACAATTTGTTAAGAACTGTAGAAAAGAATTTATAGAATATTTAAAAAATGACTACAATTCGCCATACTTTACAACAAGAAGTATTTCAACCGAACGAAGAACGGTTGTTAGCAGCCTGTCATGTTGAGAAATTATACAAGAAGAAAAAGGCTTCCTTTTTATGTATAGTTAGCAACACTAAGCCACCCCTAACAATTTCACTTATTCAAATTAAACAGTCAGAGAAAACGTATAAAAGGAAAAGGTCATGGAATTTAGTAGAGCTTAAATCAGTAGATGGAAAAAATGTTCTAGCCGATAATTTAGAGTTTGATTTACATTTAGATAAACTGTACAGATGGGTAGCATCATCTGCCCAAGAAAGACAACTATTCATAATAACATTGTGGAGGCAAAGTTCCAAGTATTTTCTAAAAGAGAAACCAGTTTTTAAAAATGTACCAGAAACATGGATTAGGGAAGATGTTTTGACCCCTGAAAATAAGTTTATCTCATCACCCATTTTAACATTGGAAAATGATATTACAGAAGATTTTAAAGCAATTACTGATAAAGAACAAGAAGATTTAAGCAGGTATTTAATTCAGTCATATTTTAAAAATTACATTAATATTATCTAGTTTATCAAAATTCCAGTCTTATGGCAAATTGTGAATTTGCCATAAGTAATGCAGAGGCATTTATGGAAGTTCTAGCTAGAGATTTGTCTCTTCTTGATGGAGAAAATGTACAGTATCTTCTTGCTTCAGAAGCCAAGGTTGAATCATTAATGAATCTATTAGAAAGTGCAGTTGATGAAGCTGATAAGATCGAGCAAAGGTTAGACGAGTATGATGAAATTCTTTGTCATGTGAAAGAAACTATGGAAAAAATGGAGAAGAAGAATTCCATGATCAGTACAGTCAACAAAAATAATATACTGTTACTGAAAGAACTAGAAATAATTATTGTGAGCAGAAATGAATTTCATGAAAACATTGTAGGAGTAATTATTATTACTTTATGTTTTAGAAACAACTTGATTTACCCCGAAAATTTCAAGACATTCTAGATGATGCAGATCTAACTAACACACAAGGTTTGAAGCAAGCCATTGAAGCAGGAAATGCTCTAAGAGATGCAATGAATTGTCAGTTGGACCCTGCTTTGTTGAGAATGTCAGCAGTGCAGGAGCAAAGAAAAAAGTTTGAAAAATATAAAGACAAGTTTTCAAGAGCTATATGTAGACAACTAAACAATTTATTCATTCATTATGGCAACCATAAGGGGGAGTCAGATCGAAACACTGAAGGTCTAGTTTTACCTCAACACAGTATGGTTCATAAAGAATTGATACCCTACACAGAATTAATGCATTGGATAAAAGTATTATTATATTTTACTCCCTGGTTGAACACCCTGTCTATTAACATCAAAATACTTTTTTTAGATAATGGATCGTAAAGCTTCTGAAGCTCTTAAAAAAGTATACACAGATTCGTTAGGAAAACTTTATGATAGAGATGTTCACAATTTATTTGAAGCAGCTAAAGAAAAAATTGCTCGTACGTCTCTATTTTACTGTAATCAAATTAGTCAGTAGATAAATCTGTTTATCAGCCTTAGGACAAGTTTCAACTCCCACTCGTAATTTAGCCCTTCTCGGCCTGGATAGAGAACAGTGGACCTTAGAAGTAATTTCTGATGATCGTCAGAGATATGAAATAATTATAGAGCAAGTATTAACACAGCTAGAACCGGTTTGTTTACAGGAACAGCAATTTTGTGTCACATTTTTCCAGGTAATTTTAAATTAGAGGTCATAAATTGAACAAGTAATAATTAAAGCAAAATTACAAATTTAACTATACAATATAAACATTTTGTAAATGCCCTAAATGATATGAAACAAATTAAGATTGTATATATTGACATTGCCAAAGCATTTGAAGTTAAGCAGTTATGGTGTTAGAGCTGTAATTCCGTAAGGTTCTCGCCTGGGTACACTACTCATTGTAATTTACATTGATGACATCAAAAATATAAGTATTCCGGTTTTATAATTTATGCTGATTAATAAAAATAATAAGAACGCCTTAGGACTCTACTGAATTACAGTCTGACATTAACCCTTATTAATTGGTCGTTGTATCTAACAGGATACAGTTACTTACTATTGCATCTTATGCCAATCAGATAGCATTTGAAAGAGGCAAAGTATCTTGTAAGATATAAGTCCTGCAAAATTCGTTGACCCATGTTATTATTTGGGTAACAACCACCAAAAATCTTTGGCACTAACAAAGATACAGCATAAATATATTAAGTTTCTAGCAACAGTTGAGGAAATCCAACGAACGCTATATTTTTAATATAGTTATTTAAAATTAGAAAACAATTTAAAAATGTTACTCTAGTCTTGAAAGAAGACAGCAAGATATATAAATTAGCAAGAAAAGAAATTAAAATTGTATTATTTCTATTACTATCCACCAATTCACTGGTACATACCCCATAAATAGAGAAATGCAAGATACGAGTATTTAATGACCAAAAATTTAGTATTAAATATTACTCTCACTCCCCACAATCAAGCAGCAATTGAGACAATTGAATTTTTCATATTAGTAAAAATAAAAATATATAATCTATAGTTTCATAGTCAGTTTAGTTAAGGAAAATTCAAATTTCTGTCTATGATTATTCTGTTTTTTAGTTAGATATACTTAGTCCAACATCCAAAAATACTCAAACAACTTTAGATGGAATGGGAGCTGAAGTAAATGTATTGCCAAGTAAAAAAGCTGAAAAGCAAGTTCATGAAGAAGTTAGAAACATGATGACAAGCCTATTTTCTTGTCTTGAAGAAGAGCTTCTCAGTTTTATTGGCTACATTGAAAAATATGATCCATTGTAGGTGAATTTTGCTATTGTTTAACTTCTGCAAATTTCATTGAAATGATGTCCAGTAAAAAAATTAAATCATTTATTTTCTAGCCATTGCATGTATGTGCTAGTTCATCTTAATCAACACGTAATGTCAGCTCAAAGTTCTTTCTTGAGTAACACATTGGCTTCTGTTTTGATTCACATGAAAAGAACTTTGGACCGTTTCATGCAACTTCAAATAGATTCTATCAAAGATTGTAAAATTGCAAGAAAGTCCAAATGTGGCATTCTTCCGTACGTTCTCAACCTAGAAGAGTTTGCTAAACTTGCAGATGTGTTACTTAAAAGTGACCGCAGAATAGACTTGGAAAAATGGTACATACGACTGGTGGATACAATGATTGAGTTTATAAATGTACACGCCAACGAACATCATAAAACACCACCTCAAGTTATCAAAATGGGTAATTTTTATTAATTATATTGGTATGGGCGACGTGTTCTTTATATTTGTGAAAAGCAATCTCACAAATTACCAACTTCTCATTGTTTTTAATCAATTTTTTTAACTAACGGGTGCCCGAGCGATAACTTTAGAACGTAAACAATAAAAAGCTGTTTTAATGCAATAATTTGTACTTTTAAAATCTACTTTCTTAATAGCGTGATAATAATAAGCATTTTGTTGTTATTTTAATCTCCACGGGTTTTCTTTTTCTCAAGTCATAATTTTAATTTTTTTGCAGAAAATTACCATTATCTGTATTCATTACTATCTCAATTAAAAATATCAGTATTAGATAATCAAAGAAAAGAAGCGAAACAGAAATATAATGAAGCTTTGGCAGCATATGTTACTCATTATTTCGGACGCCCACTTGAAAAATTGAACGTAAGTGTAGTTGTTACAGATTAATACTTTACTTCGAAAAATAATTTTTAATATTTGTAAAATGACTTATTAGCTTTAATTGTTTCTAATCAATGGTTTTACAGATATTTTTTGAAGGAGTTCAAGCTAAAGTTGCTAGTGGGGTAAAAGCATCAGAAATCAGTTACCAACTAGCTTTCAGTAAACAAGAACTAAGGAAAGTAATTAGCCAGTATCCAGGAAGCACTGTAAGTGTAAATAAAACTTACTAATTTTAGTTTATTAGTAGTAGAATTTATCTCTTGTACTACCTGTTGTCTTACAATTATCTACGAACAATTATGTCACTTTATTTTACCTAAAAGAACTTTACTTTCGAATAGCTGTAGCTTTTATTTACTGTTTATATAATAATGTATTAAACAATTAATCTCGAAAGTGCGTGTGCATTCGTTTCCTGATCAGGACAATTTGAACTGAGTCATGAGATCATTAAGCAATGTTAGAATTAGTGATAGTTTCGTTTAACCAATTTTTTAGGTTCTTGATTATTTGTTCGTTTAATTATTACTTTATTAATACTTTTATTAATTTTTAATCGTTTTTACTTATTAGGTAAAAAAAGGTTTAGAATCTCTATACAAAAAAGTGGAAAAACATTTATCAGAAGAAGGCCTTGTTCAAGTTGTTTGGAGAGCAATGCAAGAGGAATTTATAAGACAATACAAAATGCTTGAAGATTTAATACAACAGTGTTATCCTGGTTCTATGATAGCTCTAGAATTCACTATAGATGATATTTTGAACTTTTTCTCGGACATTGCACGTTCTCATTAGTAATAAAATGAATTAAACCAGAAAGTGTAAGGAAGTATTACATATAAAGAAAAAATACATACAAGGTGAGTGAAAAATGAATTAATAAATACATATTCACATAACAACAAATTATTGAAATATTTTATTGGTTGAAAAAGAATATTATAAAAGTTTCCTATGGTACTGTATATTTTTCTAGTTTGATAATATGTGCTGTTTTGTGTATTCCCAAACTATTATACTAGCTGCAACATGTACATTTAATGATCGTATTACACCTACTTGGGGAATTTCTAAACAGATATCTAGTAAATGTAGTAAATCTGCTGGAATTCCGTGTTTCTCATTCCTAAAAACAAAAAAAAAGAAAAGTTGACACACATGTAGTTCTGTTTTTACGCAAAATTTTTAACTCTTTACAAAATAGATTTCAGTTTTAATTATGCTGACTATTTTTAACGATCTGTTTTGTATAAATTATTCGAGTATAAAATTATATAAAAACAGATTTGTATGTGTACATCTGCTTTAATTTAAAAAAAAAAAATTAGGAATTTATTACCTAATACCTACCCCAAAAGTAATGCACACTTTTTAGGAAAACGAAAATCACCCAATTTAACACTTTTTGATGTTTGTTCAGCTCCAATTATAGCTAATCCACTATTTTTAAGTGAGAGTAAATATTGATATAATTTTTCTACCTTCACCTCAATAATATCAACCCAATTTTCGGAAGACATACTTAGACTTAAAAATTCATTCTTATTTTTTAAACAACTACTTCTTATCGCTAAACTTTTTACACCGAAAATTTCGCAAGTTCTACACAATCCTCCCAAATTCGGCACTTTTTCAACTAAGCTCGCTATAAGAATGAGATCTCCGGTGTTTGGTCGGACCTCTTCTCTCCATGGAGGAGTTATTTTTTGTTGTATTATATATGGAAAAGCGCTTGTTACACTATTTGCATCAGCATTTTCGTCGTTTTCATTATTGGGAAAATCAATAATAATTTTTTTATCGTTTTGAATTGGTAATAATTCACTTGGCAGAAAATCATTAGTCGAAATCGATAAAAATTCCATTTCTGTGACTTGAGCTATTCTTGGTATCGTTATATAAATATTTTCCAATGTATAATGATCAGTCGTAGAAAACGACTCCAGAAAATATAGTTCTAATGGATCAAAAGGTTTATTTATTTGTGGAATTAACTGATTTATTGATTCATAAGCACAAATGAATCTCTGTTCTAAAGAGGCGTATCTCAATTTTTTTATTTTTTCAAAGGATTTCACAAAGGCGACCTGAAACATGTTAACTGATTAAAACAATTCGTAACAAATAGTTTAAAAAGTAAAATTTTATTTACCCATATTCATTTTAATAAATGATAATAACCTAATCGTAAGTAGGAATTGTAAAAAAGTATCGTAGATTTATCAAAGTGTTAATTATCTAATGATACCTGTGCATACAATCGAAGATTAAAATGTGCTCCCATGGTCCAGGGGAGTATTTCCTTCATAATTTTACCCCACACGTGTTCTTTATTTATTTTGCAAGCCAAGGAATATAAGATGAACACAAAACTTGTTATCGTTGAGGGTTGAGTTTTACTTGCCCCATTTACTTTATTTGAAATTATATCTATATAACACTCACTCATCCCCTCGATCAGAATCCACTGAATTAAAAGCTTGACGCTTGTCTGATTGCTTTCTAAACACAAACTTTCCATTAGAGTATCTATTAAATGCAATTTTTCAAAAGCTATGTAGGGTAATAAAATTAAAAGGGCTTGCAAAATTCGTTGTTTTCTTAAATGAATCTAAAATTATATAATAATAAAAGTGTACACGAAAAAACATGTGTAACGTAATAAACCTGGGAATTTTTAAAATAACGTTTTTTAAAATACAAAATATATTCATCCAGTAACACTAAAGCCAATGTATCTGCAAAAGTGCTTCTACTGTTTTGATCACCTAATGCGTTCTGAAGAATGTTTACTGCATTAATTCGTACCAAATTCCTCTGGCATACAAAGCTACAATTAATATCATGTAAAAACTATAGTTTACTTCTGATAAAAGAACTTACACATTCTGTTTTTGCTTGTTTTTAGAGTTGTAGTAAATTTTAAATTCTGCTCTATAATCAAAGTAAACTTATTCAAAGAGGTAAATGAGTTATTTATACTTACACTTGGTCTTTCCTTAATAAATCTCCATACAATAACAGCTCCATAATAACATGTGAAAAATTTAGCAATTCATTGGAATTTTGTTGAGAGAGTTTTAAGAGAATTTTTGAGATACTTACAGGTACTTCTATTACTTTTTTACATTCTTTCATTAACTCATTTAAAACGTACGAACAATTTTTAACAAAAAACTCTTGCGATAGCAGAATTTTATTGTTTAATATAAGGCTATCTAAAAGCGTTTCCAATGCCTTTTCAAAAATATGCGGTTTGTTAATTTCCAAAATTCGTTTTATATAATGTTCCACCAATTTAAAAATTACTTGATAATTTTTTTCTCCTTTTTCAAACAATATTTTTATGTATGAAAATAAGTCTGGATAACTTGAATAAGGTAAAATTTCAAGGAAACTGGTGCAAAAGTTGCAGAATTCATGTACATCATCGCCTCTTTTTGCTATCTTTTCTTTTTGGTAGAGATTTAAAAAACATAAGTAAACATTACCGTTAGTCTTAACATCACTTTTAAAAATATTGATCCACCTTTCAATAATTAATCCGACTTCTTCTGTAGAGACAGCATTTACATTGTAATATTGAAGTAAAATTTCAAATGCTAGAGATATTCTGTTACTTTGAACATTAGTCTCATTTAATAGAATATAAGAACACTTAAGAGACAAATCAATTCCAAGTTTTGAATTCGCATTAGTGGATAACACAGGTGTGCTCGCAATGACGCTTAATAATATAGTAATATCATGAGTTGTAACGTTATTTTCAAGAGCAAAGTTTAAGTAATTTGAGAGAATAGGCATGTTAATAAAACATGGAAAATAGTGCATCATATGAACAGCAACTGAAAAGGGTAATTTATTTTCAGATACTGGATCTTGAAACCTGCTTTCAATGTAACTTTTTATATCCTTGCTATTTTTAAATACATTTATGATTTTGAAATCATTTTTGGAATGTATATGACGTATAAAATATTCTTTATGACTGACAAACCTTCTATAAATCTGTGCTTGTATTTGCTCAGAATTGCATAATGCCCCTGATAGTTTTAAGATATTTATTGTGTGCTCCAAAGTAACATTTTCATTCTCACATAGGTACTTATTAAAATATTTTTCAATTAAAAAAATACATTCATACCGAATAAATGTGTTTGGTAATTGTTCCGTGGTTGTAATTAACTTTTCTATTTCTGTTTTTTCTAGGGCCTTATTACAATGTAAAATAGTTTTGCACATAAAATAAAATGGTACTGGAGCACAGTTCATTTCAAAAAGATTTTTCAAAAATATTCTAAATAAATTATCAGCTGATGCAACTAAAAATTGCTCAAGCAATGCAAATGACTTTAAAGTGTAAGTGGAATACTCTGTATCGTTTAAAACGAGTAAAATATTCTTGACTATTCTTTGAAAAACATTAACGTTGTCGCATAATTTGTTTTCAAATAAATAATGTAATGTTTGGTAAGATATTATTTTATGAGAATGTACCAGAAAACTGTTAGAAATGTAACCAAGCCAAAGAGGATGTAGAATGCTGATTTTACTAAGCAATGGCAGTGCAGGTTCCAAAAGATGAATTTGTTTTTCTTTTGAAATCTCACTTAAACTGAAGAAATATTTCCAAGCTTCAAAGATTGCTTCTTTATTATTTGTATCAAATGAAATATATGAGCAGTTACAATCTTTTCCTTGAAAAATTACATCGCACACCTTTTGCCAAAAATACAGTATATGCTTTCTATCAAATTCACTACCTGAGTAAAGAATTTTTTCAAAAAGAATGAAAAACTCTTCGTAATTAATTAAACTTACCAGCAAGTCTTTTTTGTTATCACAAAAAAATTCTGCTAAGGCAGAAAGTGCTTCTATATCATTTTTTTTTAATATAATGTTCCATAGTAAAAACAATGTTATATCATTTTCTCCTGTAAATGTTGCAAGGTTTACAAACATTTCTTTTAAGAGACAAGTCTTTATGGCAATATTTTCAAGCACATAAGTAAAAATGTCTGTAGCACTCTTTGCAACGACATTTTTAATGTTTTTATTATTTATGCTCTTACTTAAGCAAAGACCCACATTAAAAACTGTTACAAAAAAATCCCAGTTCTTTTTTGATGTTAATGACTTAATATTATCTCTTAAATAACAGAATAATTTCTGAAACTGCTGTTCACCTGAATACACCAACAAGGCATTTTGTACTATTTCTGAATTAGCATTAATCATTGCAATTTCTATTATTTGTTCAAAATTGAAAGTAAGTTTTTGATGTTTACCTTTCATGATAAAATAGCTTTTCAATTTTAATAAGGCCCCTAATTTATTTATCTCAACTGATTCTCTTATCATTTCATTTAGCTTAGTTTCATCTAAAAGTTCATGAAGCACGTCAAGTTCTGTAAATTCAAGTTCCATGTTAATGCTGAGCTTATTATATTAATTTTTAATATAATAGTAAACTATTCAAATAAAAAAATTGTCTTGGTAAGTACTGATTATATAGGTTATGTTTACGTAAACGTTATACGTCATATTTTATCAGTTATGGAGTGCCTCCTAAACATATATGTAAACTTGTAAACTCCTATATGGCCACTTTCATAGACTAGTTTCTGTAACGTCAAAACTACAGCCATGCGGTGTTAACTCCTCCTGTCAAAATAGTAGTGNCTAAAAGAACTTTACTTTCGAATAGCTGTAGCTTTATTTACTGTTTATATAATAATGTTGCACTATTTCATTATAACAAATATTAAACATTAACAATAAACTGTAATAAAAATTTACATATGTAAGTAACTAATGTATACTTTGTTTCAGTTTGATTTGTAATTAACTTCTTGAATTATATTTACCAATTGTTGTGGCTCTGGTTCATGCTCTAAGTGTCCATTAAAATTACCATGAATTTTCAACAAGACAAACTAAATTCCTTTGGAATTCTGTCCTTTTAAGTTTCAGACAGGACAGGATAGCAAAGTTTTTCATATCAAGTATTTGTGTTTTTTTGAATATTCATTAATATTAGATAGAGTTTTGAATTTTCATGATGTTTGTGAACCTTCAGAGACCTGGGGCATATCTGCACAGTCTGGGATAATTCTGGCAACCCTATTCTGTGCAGATAAAATAAATAAATAAATGTTTTTTTTTATTTTAAGTTTTAGCTTAAAATGGATGAATCTGTTGTGGAAACTGATTTTCAACCAAGAAACTACCAACTTCAGTTGATGAAAATAGCCCTCAAGCAGAATACAATTTTATTTCTGCCTACTGGTTCAGGCAAAACATTTATAGCAGTGTTGTTAATAAAACGTCTCTCACAAGATCTCGAAATGTAACGTGATATTAAAGTTATAATTTTTTATTTTAATCGTGCCATTTTAGACCTGTCAAGGATGGAGGGAAAGTAACTTTGTTTTTGGTAAGCACAGTAGCATTAGTTGATCAGCATTCAAAAACTTTACAAAGGCACACTGCTTTTAAAATTGGTTCTTATTCGGGTGATATGAATATTGATTCTTGGTCAAAAACTGCATGGGACATGGAAATAAATTCTAATCAAATCCTGGTTATGACCGCACAAATAGCTGTTAATATTGTTTCATCTGGATATCTTAGTAAGTGCATTATTTCTGTATTAGATATGTGTAATAAGGGTCTTGAAATGCAATATTTGAGCTATTTAATAAACTAATACTATGCATAATTGGAAAACGGGAGGGTGCTAGCACTTCGTCATAATTGTCAAAGAAAATGATAGCAGATACTAATATTTGTTGAGACAAATTATTCGTGTTAAATTTAATTAAAAAAGTAGACATAATTCTTGAAAAAAGGCTTTTTTTAAATTAAGTTTAACATAAATATTAATGAGAAAAAGTGAATGTGATAAAAGACTAAGGTGAAACACATAATTCGATACTAATAAGTGAAGATGCTGAGGTTGTTTCTGTCATTATTTACTCCCCTGCAATAATTCAAAATGTTACAAGATTGCCTGACCTATCTTTTTTTTGTGTGATATGTGTATATATAAGAGGGAAAGTTAATGTGTGATGCTACTGTAAAAAGTTGAAAATGTTAAATTATTATTATGCCTTGGTAAAAAGATTAATTCAATTTTTAAGGTTTGTCCAACATTAATCTACTAATATTTGATGAATGCCACCATGCAGTAAATGATGAACCAATGAGGCAATTGATGAAGCATTTTGAAAATGTCATAGAAAAACCTCGTGTGCTTGGCCTTACTGCTACTTTATTAAATGGAAATGTGAAACCTGATCAGGTTTTAAATGAAGTTAAAAAACTAGAAACAACTTTTCAAAGTAAAGTGGCAACTGTTGATGAATTGAAATTTGTTATAGGGTAAGATGTTTTAAACATAAATATGCTTATATTAATATATTATCTTTACTTATTAAAATGTCAGCTGTTTGTAATACAGAATACTTAGAAAAGTTAATTACACCTATTTCATTTATGATATGCTAATTGTCAATTTTTTCTTATTTCAAAAGTGCATGAATATTTACTAATGTACTTAGTTTTTTCCTGAATTAATATACCCTGGATATATTATTTTACTTTTCAATTAAATTAAAGTTTACATTAATTTTCAATTCAAAATGAATCAAAATTCAATATTTTTTCAAGGTACTCTACAAATCCTGAAGAAAAAATTATGTCCTTTCGGAAAAATCCAAGAACATGTTTGGAAGATCAGATATTTAAAATATTGGAAACATGTATTAAAATTGTGCAAAAGATACCCAAAATTCAAAATTGTCAGTCAGAATTAGCCAACAAACACATACCTCTTGGAGTAGAAAAAACATATAAAGATTATGTAAATATGTTAAAAGATATACAAATGCATGTAGATATGCTGGGGCCGTACGGTGGTTTAATAGCTGCTTTGTCTTACATGATTTATTTAGAGAAAATCAAAAGACATTGTGAAGACAGTATTGAAATTGATGTAATTAATGGGAGTATAACATACCTTCATATTATAAGGAATGTGATTAAAAGACAACTTAAACCTTTAAATGATGAAGAAATCATATCACATTACTCATCTTCAAAACTTCTTATGCTGTTTAAAATTTTACGAAATTACCAAGCCATTTCCAAAGTTCCACTTAGTGCACTGATATTTACAGAGAGAAAGTTTACAGCGAAAATTCTTTATCACATATTCAAAAAAGCAAGGGAAGTCTATCCGGAATTTAAAAATTATGACGCTGATTTTGCAGTTGGTTTCTCCAATAATCCAAATATATTTAATCGAGAACCTTTATATACCACTAAAATGAACAAAAAAGCCATACAAAAGTTTGATAACAAGGATGTTAACATCCTTTTTTCAACTAATGTTCTGGAAGAGGGAATTGATATAAGTCTTTGCTCATTAGTTGTAAGATTCGATCTACCAAAAGACTACAGATCATACATTCAATCAAAAGGAAGAGCTAGACACAAAAATAGTCATTTCTATATGATGGTTGAAAATTCCGAAATTGTCAAATTTCAAACTAAATACAGCAACTATCAACGAATTGAACAAATACTTTGTGATGTAAGTTGGCGGTGATTATTGCTTACCTAATTTAAATTGGATTTGCATGTGACTTAATTTTTTAGATTTTGATCGGCAGGAATGATGAACGAGATGGTCCATCAGAAGATGATATTCAAAAGGTTTATAATGAAGACTGTTTACCTCCTTATTATGTGAATGGTCCAGGGTCATCTCAAATTAATTGCCTAAATAGCATATCAAAGCTTTCTCAATATTGCCAAACTTTAGCGTCTGATCAGTACACGACGTTCCAACCTGAATGGTTTTTAGAAAGAAATAAAGAAAAGCGTCGTGTTATAATCGAACTACCAATTGTTTGTCCCATTATAGATCAAATTGAAGTAAGTTCTTTATTCTGTATTCGAATTTAGAAAGCAACTTTCAATAGGGTTAATTATTAACTATATAATAACATTTTTAATGTGTAACATATGACGAAAACCTGTAATCAGAAGTAGGGAAGAAGAAGTGCGCACTATTCAATCGTTGCGGCCTACAGTTAGGCATGAAAAAACAGAAATAGAGAAAATTCAGTTATCAATCTTTTGTTCTACTAACCTAGGTCTTGAAAAGAAGGACGCATTACCTTGCATCTTGTGTGGTGAAATTACTACTTTGCTCATTACCCATGTTAGATGTTACACGTCATTGACGACAATTGTAAAACTCACACTTATTGTATAATTATGTTATTGTTTTATATAGCTTTTAAATTTAAATTAAGCTATCTTAATTAAGGTTAGCTTTTTTGCAACATCTATTACATTTTTATGGTTTAGGGTACCTGGGAATGTACTATAAAAGATGCAAAAAGGACAGCAGCATACAATGCTTGCGTAATGTTGCACAAAAAGGGAGAACTTGATGATTTTCTCTTGCCAGTTGGCAATTCTGTTAAGGAAAAGGACACCAAACATTTATTCAAACATATACCTGAACCTGTTGATAAAAGTGCCGGGAATTCTACATCACGTAGACCGTACCTTAAGCAGGTAAATTTTTGCATTTATAACAAGAGAAAAAAGTTTAATTTTGATAAAAACATAACAATTTAAAAATTTCAGGCTCCTCAAATGTTGACGTTCCACAATTGTGCTGAATTTTACCTTCATGTGGTAGACTTAAATCCATCATTTTCCTCAGATTATAAAGATTCTTACAGATCTACGATTCTTGATTTATTTGAGAGTGACCTTTGTTATGGTATTATCACGAAACGACCATTGCCAAAACTTTGTTCATTTCCTATCTATGTATCTAGAGGACAGATAAGGGTTGAAATACTGACTAATGCGAAAATAGTGACTCTAAATCACGATCAGATAATGCAATTACGTTTATTCAACTACATTCTTTATCATGATGTTCTTAAAATTCTCAGAAATTTCTTGATTTTGAATAACAACGAATCATCGGAAGAATGCCATTATTTGGTCACTCCAATTAAAAAGAGTGACATTACTATTGCATTTGATATTATCACAGAAAATCAAGAAATTGCAGATCCAACCCGCAAACCATCTGTAGATCAGATTCTAAAACTTGATGTGGATAATGACAAATATTTAGGAAAAATCGTCACACCATGGTACAAACACTATAATAAGGTAATGATGCTTTTCTAACTATAAAATTTTTGTAGTGTTCTTCAAACATTCAAAATATATTTAATAGACAAATTCTATAGTTTGTGTTGTGTTGCCGTGTGCTTTGCTTAACTATAAACGTTTAATCATTCTTACCAGATAACATTTTCAGTGCGTTGTATTTAACGTCTAAATTTAACACGACAGCACAACCCAAAAATTGTTGTACCTAATACCGGCCAAGAAAGGATATAAGAAATTGTAACAGTGTACCAATAATTAATTGACTAATTAATTAAAANATATTTTGTATATAAGTAAGAGGTCAGGTCTGCAAATGTCTCACCTCGAATGGTTCTAATTGAACCGTACTTGTAAATAGTAAATACGATAATTAGAGAGGTCCGCAATTGTTCCAAGGCTGCCAATCGTTAAGTCCCGTTCAAAAAGTCACTAAACCAAAAAAATTTTAATTCTTGCTTGGCGGATTTTCAACCGGATGGTTGAGTTGACAAAATCATACTACGAGGTAAGTTATAGCTTAAGTGATCCAAGGAAACCACAGAAAAACTTGGACCAAGGCAGACGGACCCGGAATCGAACCGGCGTCCTCCCGAGTGCTGCTAAGCAATGGTCTAAACCTCTAGGCCATGCCGCTCGGTCGATTCTGCAAAAAAAACTTTTGGGTGTTTCATTCCCACCAGCCAGTAATGCTGGTGGGCGGGCAGTCCCTCCGGACTACGCCGGAAGGTAGGGCGGAAGTCCCTCTTCAGCCTGCTTTCAGGAATCGTGGGAATGGGTGGGTGGTGGTTCGGGTGAGAAAGATGGGACGGACGAAATGAAGACAGAAGAGAATGATGAAAGTTTATCTATGGAATATTACTGTCCCCATCTAGCAAGGAGGATTAGAGATAGCTTTAAATAAAATGGAAGCAGTATTGACGAAACAGTACTGTATGAAAATAAATAAAAGTAAAACAAAAATACTGGTATGCAAGGGAAGAAAAAGTAGGGAAAGAGCGAATATAAAGATAGGAGAGAAAAAAATTAGAAGTGGCGGATGTTCGGTATCTAGGAAGTCACATAAGTTAGAACGGAAGGAGTAGTAGGGATATAAAGCAGAGAATAGCGCAGGGTCGAGTCGCCTACAATAAAAAGAAGTCACTTGTATACTCTCGAACGGTTAATTTAGGAATTCGAAAAAGATTGTTAATGCTATATGTTTGGAACGCGGCGCTACTCAGAGACGTACTAGAGGCAGAAACAAGTATTAAGATTAGCAGAGGTAGATTTAGATTAGATTATTGTTAGCAAATAGTTAAGTATGTGGGATGTTCTAGTTTTGAGGAAATTTGAAGATTAGCTCAGGTTAGGAAAGAGTGGAGGTCCGTGTCCAACCTTTGGACTGGACCTTATGATGATGATAAGTACTTATGGTTGATATAATTAGATCTGCAGACGAAAAATAATGTTAATAAAAAAATACATTTAATTTTATTTTTCGTTTTTATTAATGTAACATCCACTATTCTATTATATACTTAATATCTTTCAGAATTACATCGTGGTTGAAATATGTTACGATATGGACGCTAAAACTCCTTTTCCTGGTGGCAGCTACGATTCGTTTGAATCTTACTTCAGCGAAAAATATAACGTAACGATTCTAAACAGTAAAGCGCCTCTATTACATGTAAAGGCACTTGCCAGCGGTCTAAATTTGTTAAGACCTAGAAGTTCTAAAGGTAAACGAAAAAGAGAGGAAAAGTATGAAGGCATGAAAGAACATATATGTCCAGAATTGTGCGTTAAGCAGGAGTTTCCCTCACCCCTTTGGCTCCAAGCATCTCTTTTGCCTAGTATCTTACATCGTTTTGATCAATTAATTCGTGCCGAAGATTTAAGAACTCAAATAGCTGAAGAAGCAGGTGTGGGCGTGACGAAACTAAACGATGCTGAGAAATGGAAACCACTAGAAATCTATGATAATCAGTTAATTGACAATGAACAAAGTCAGCCGCAGCTAGATGAATTAAATAAAACTCAAGATGAAGATGAAATTCAAGAAATTCTCGCCACAATGAAAGCAGACTTACGTAATGTTAGGAATGATGTCTGTTCAAAAATGCTCAATCAGCAATATCCTTGGTCTGAAAAGGACGAACCTGTCGACATCGATCGGAATCTAGACGTTACCCTCATCGAAATTCAATACTACGATAATTTTGTATCGCGAGAAATGAATGCAAACGATGTTTTACAATCTCGTAATAATACAGCGATTTTGCCCGCAATCACTTACGATAATAGCTATGTATATTGCGACATAAAAATACTTTCTAAACAACAGGATTCGAGAGGTCCTGAATTAAGAGACATTTATCAAGCATTATGCACCGCAAAATGTAACGAAATTGTTAATTTTGAACGATTGGAAACATTGGGTGATTCTTTTCTAAAGTTGTCTACAACATTGTATATTTTTGTTAGATTCCCTAAATACAACGAAGGTCAGGCAACTCAACTCAAAAGCAAATTGGTTAGTAACAAGAATTTATATTATCTCGGATTAAAAAAGAATTTACAAAGCTATGTGAAAAATTCCGATTTTTTACCGGATTACGATTGGGTACCACCGGGTTTCATTACACCCCACGTTATTGCAGAAAATTACCGTAATTCGAAAATTGACTTGCCTTTTCTGACTAATTTGGAAATTACAAAGAACGAAGCAGTTGCTGGTATTCTTACGAAAGAAACAGAAGAGAAAATTTTAAATAATTTGGCCGAAGGTTCTCGAGACACTGAATTATCTCAGAAAGAATTCATTTATCCATTCCTAAACATTGACGTAGTAGCAGATAAAACTATAGCCGATTGCGTGGAAGCAATTTTAGGTGTATACTGTCAGTCTAATGGTCTATTAAGTGCCTTAAAAATGCTCGAGTGGTTTGAAATAATCCCAAAGGAAGAAAATATAACCCACATTTTCAACGACATTCCTCAATCTCCCCTTTTACGCGGTCCGGATACAGAACGTTTAATCAATTTACACTTGACCAAAGGTACAATAAGTAAAATTGAAGAAAGATTAGGATATACTTTTAGAAATAAAGGATATTTGCTACAAGCCCTTACACATTCATCTTACACTCCTAACAGAGTGACCAATTGTTATCAACGTTTGGAGTTTTTGGGCGACGCAATACTTGATTTCTTAATAACTTGTCACATTTATGAAACCTGCGGCAAACTGAATCCTGGAGAATTAACAGATTTAAGATCTGCCCTGGTGAATAATATTACGTTTGCAGGCATAGCTGTCAGGTTGGGGCTTCATAAGTTCCTCCTTTTTTCCAATCAGCAGTTGTCTAAATACATAGACTCATTCGTTAGTCATCAAGAATCTAAAGAATTCGTTATTGATGAACAAGTTTTGATTCTTTTAGAAGAAAAAGATACTGGTGTGTATTTGTCTGAGCATATCGATGTACCAAAGGTGAGGTGTTCTTTTTTTTCAGATATTTTTTTGTAGCCATAAAAAATTTAGTATATTTTGTAATGTGTTTTCACTACTCATAGTTCTTTAATTCCATCAATATTCATTATTTTCTCGTTTAATTATGGCTTATAAAATATAGTCGAGTTAACTACATTATACTAAATAATGCACTATACTATACTTACAAGTTGATATTTTCAAAGAAATAGAAGGAATTTAAAGATGTGGTGGTTACTGATAATGCTCTAATAAGTTAAAGTAATTGTAATGTAAAAGGAGATTAATTTTAAAATTCCTTAGGTTTTAGGAGATGTATTTGAAGCAATGGTAGGTGCAATTTTCTTGGACAGTGGCAGTAATCTCCATGCCACATGGGAATTTATCCATAGAGTAATGTGGCAGGAGATATCCACTTTCAAAGTGAATGTTCCTAAAAATGCTGTCCGACTTTTATATGAAACACAAAGGACTCATCCACAATTTTAGTAAGTTGGTTACATTGTTTCGTTAAATTTCCTTTAAATTGTAGAATAACGTTTCACAATTACGCGTACGTTTGCTGCGGAGTAGCTTGAAAAAATATACTTTATTTCTGTTAAGTCAAGTCTATATGTATTTTTTTGTATTAATTAGTTATAAATTTACATTATTAGTGATCCAGTTAAATTGGACGATCGTGATGTGTGTATGATGAGACTTGACTTCATGGCTAATGGAGAGAGAAAGACAGTTTATGGTTTCGGTGATAATAAAATTTTTGCTAAAAGAGCAGCAGCTAAATTTGCATTACGACTTTTGAAATAGATACAGAAAAGACTGTTATTTACTTAAGTATAAGAAAATATTTTTGCAATAAGCAACACCTTATTTTTGTTTAATTAATAATTAACTATTTACAAGATAATAGTTATGTTTTTATTGAGTTTTATTATTTTAATAAAATGATTATTCAATGTTTATTAAATATGTAACCAATTTCATTTTTTTACTAAATATGTAAACAATTCTCTGCCATAATTCCTTAGATTTTAATATGCACAGCTGCAGTTCTATACCAGTTCATTAAATTTGTAAATTTTCCATTTACAGTCTTTTAATTAAAATATGTAAACAATAGTATATAAATAATACACATTATCACACAAAAGAAAATTTGACTTTGTTCCTATTTAATTAATTCGTTTGTGTTTGTTTTATTGATTCATATTCATTAAAAAATAAGGAATTAAGGCATAATTGTGTTAAATCCATACATATAATATAACAGCTAAAAAAATATTTTCAATAAAATATATTTATGTTAAAAAATTGGCAAATGTTCTTCTATAAATAGTTTTATTTGCCATTGCTATGCTCAATGCGTTTTCTCATTACACCGTAAGTATTAATTAGATATTTAAAAATAGATACATCAAATATGTCGGTACATGTACAAGTTATTTTATTATTGTACTTTTCTCTTTTTCAGTGAAGGTCTATCAAAATGTTGCTTCATTCCGCCTGCTTGTGAATTGTGAAATTTTAAATTCTGAGAAGTTTCACTAACCCAAGGTGAATCAAATTGAGTTGTATCTTGGTCAACCAGATGCGTATATTTGGTTCGACCAGATCTCCCAAAGTTCTTAACTTGCATCACCTTTGGAAGAATTGTTTTGTCAAAATGATCTTCCAAAGTTGCCTGAGAAAAGTCTCGTTTATATACGTCATCTTCTTTATCCAAATAAAAAGCTCCTCTGTGGTAGTACTTCTGTAAAAATTTATATTTGCCTTTTATAGGCTTATTTATAACTTGTTTAGGATTAAGACGCAATTCCAGTCGCCTTTCTTCTTCAGTCATATTTCGTAATCTTTCAATTTCTAGCCTCTCTTTCTCTTGCCTGTAAAAAAATTTTATATTTTGTTTACATGTTTTTTATGATAGTGGTAAACTTACGCTTCCCTTTCTTCTCGGTCTCTTTTTATTCGTTTTAACTCCCTGAGCTTCCATGCTTCATATTCAAGTTCATCATTCTCATCATCTGTATTTACATCATTAAGATTTGGTTCATTGTCTTCTTTACTTTTGGCTTGTTGCTCTTTTCTAATTGATTCTTCTACCATTCGTAGAGTTTGTCTTCGCCTTTCTTCTGCTTGCTTTTGTGCTTCCAATTCCAATTGTTTCTGTTTTTGGGCTNCAAGTATGACTTCTGCAAGGACCTGAATTTGTAAAAATATATATTTAACTATGTATTTTAGTTGATATTACAAATCTAATTGTAATAATTAAAAAACTTGAAATAAATTTTAAAAAAACATGTCAAAATTGAGATAATTACACGTTACCTAATAAATTCTACTATTTACAATTGAAAATTGCAATATTTGCGTTGTCATAAAGATTTAGTTTTCTGCGTGAAGTTAAAAGAATTTGCGATTTTTGATGTACCTGTATGCTAATGATGTTAAGGAATGCATTAGTCGATTACATTTCTAAAGTTCTGTTCATTAGAAACCACATTTTCTTTTAATCGGTAAGTCGACGTTTCGAAAGATTTTTGGTTACTTTCATAGTCCAGCTATTTTGTTACTATTAGATAAGTGTGTAAACTTATAATTAGTCGACCATAATATTATTTGGTTTTGATGGTTTATTTCTACAATTTATAACGTTTTAACGGCAGTCGATTAACTCTACCAATTGTTTTCTACTTTATAATGAAGGTGAAACTGGAAAGTGTTTCAGTATCCATTCAGTGCATTTAAGTAATTTAATGTCTTTCATTTTGTGCATCTACAAAAAAAAATGAAAATCTTATTTTACTATAAATATGAAATATTTTGACATTTAATAGGGGTTAATATCAAATATTGATCTGAAAATTCATTTTTAATTTTCTCCCAATACAAACTACTTCAAGTTAATAACGGAAAAAATTGTTGCTGTTGTCACATCCTTGCCGGGAATCGAACCCGGGACCTTTGGCTTTATGCACCAATGCTCTGACCACTAAGGTTAGTCCCAAAGATCCCGGGTTCGATTCCCGGCAAGGGTGTGACAACAGCAGCAATTTTTTCCCTCATTAACTTGAGGTAGTTCGTAGTGGGAGAAAATTAAAGACGAATTTTCCCATTAATATCTTATTTTTATTTATTCGTTTAGGTATGGGTTCGGTTTGGTTATTGTACTTACTTTTGTCGACCCTCAAAACTAGGGGAATTAATGGTTTCTGTTAATCATCAAACGAAACTCATTTACCAATTAAAAAATGTGACCGAATTTAAAAAAAGAAAATTGCAATAATAATGTCTTGAAAAATGTTCACGTCATCTTCCTTGATCATCATTATCGCATTCGTAATCTATCTCCCAGCTACCTAATCTCAACGCTCAATTACCTAATTAATTTTTTTCATTTTGTTGATGTTCCATTTCTAATTATTATCAAATTTGAACTTGTTATTAGTACATTTACTATAGTGGCCGGCTTTGTCGTAAATTTATGATGATTCATCGAGTAATAACTCGCTTACCATTTTCTATGTGCCCTAGGGTTCGATACGATCACGTCTTCCATTGTTTTTAATTGACTAGGAATGTACGTTTCGCTCTATTTATTTCCACGTCTTATTTCCTACAAAAAGAGTAACGTGGCATGAAATCGGCAAGAAGGTCAACTTGACCAAACGATCGCGACCTTTAAGTTTTAATTCAGGTGTTAAAAACTGTCTTCTATGTATAATCAAGTTTAAAACTGACGTGACAAGTTTTTATCCATTAGAACCTACGTTATATAATCAATAACGGCCTAAATTTTGATTAATTATGTGCAGGGAAGTTTTAAAAAGTATATGAAATAACTGATGTTATTTAGAATTGCCCTTATGCAATAATGTTTATTATTTAGACACCTACAAATATCGAATTTAAAAAATCCCATAATTATCAATATTAAGGTGTTTCAAAAAAATTAACTTTTGTTTTTTCGGAGAACATTGAAAAAAGACAGAGTATCCCTTAGATACGGATCCTGTTATAATATGAACCGTAATATTAATATTTACAAGTGGCATTTTGCAATTTTCTATTTCCCACATAAATAACAAGAATTTTTCTTTTTTTAATGTTGGAATTTTATAACTCGACAAGAAATAGTCTTCGATACATCCATATTTTTCCCCACTAGCACTAGTCCAGAGCTATTACCTAAAAAACCAATAAACAAACAGAAATTCTCCGGTATTATGTAGATTAGATTTAAAGGAAGTACCTAAATATTTGCATATAGATTTGTGTAGGTGTAAGATTTTTATATGGAAATACAGCAAGGTAATTTCTGTGACAAACTTCAATGTAGTTATTTTTCTATAAATTCAAAACGCGACTAGTGTCCTTGAAATAAGCCATAGGTACTGATTTCCATACTTGAATACTTTCTTGTTTAGTTTACAATGTTGTTGTTCTCTTCATAATTCAGTAAAAACCACAGATCACACGTGAATTAAGAAAATCTTTCTTTTCGTTTTCTATAAAATGTATTCAAAATAACAAGTTTTTATCTTAAGAACCACGTATTTTAGATAAATGTAAATTTATTTGCTTTTATGTTATTTAAATCACCGAGAAATTTTTAAACATGAGATAAGTAAAAAATTTACCAGAAAGGATAGGCAAATTAATACGTAGGTTTGTCGTTTTTTTATCTTGATATACTTACACAAATTTACAGAACTATATTTTAGGTTAGTCAATTTTGACCCTTTCAATAGGTACCACTTTATCCTTCTAGGAGACGTTAGTTTACCACCTACATTTTTGGGAACATTTTTTTTAATTATTTTACCGAGAAATAAAACTGTATATCAATTTGCGGAAGTATAAGTATATATCATTTTTTTGCTGGAAAAATTGCACATTTAAGCCTCTCCCCCCTTGATTTCAGCAAGTATGACTTCTGCAAACGGCCTCTTGCTTAGATAACGTCATAGGAATCTTATGAGAAAAATCGCCACTATTGGGATCCGTCAAATGGGCATACACCATTTGGTGGCAAAATTTATAACTCGAATGAGGGAAAAATTTACATAGGAACTATGCACGAAAATTGTAAAATTGTTTATTAAAATAATAAAACACGTTAAAAAAGTAAAAGTTTTTGTGTTGATGGAGTCGACGAAGTTTTCTTCTAAAGTTAAATCAAATAAAAAGTTAATATCATTTTATCGTAATTTAAAAACTTGGAAATTGCACGGTACACTATAGGAACTACGATAAATTTTCCCTAATCGACGCCATGTTTTTAGGCTCCTCCCATTTGACGGATCCCAATATTCGATCTATTTACATTTTTGTAGCCAGCTCTTCATGTATTCCAAGAATTCACCTGTCTCGATTGTGTGAATTTTACATCAACAAATTTTGAATAATTTTTTAAATTCCATTTTTTCCTTGACCACTATTTGTTTGTGATACATGGGTACTTGAGGACTTATATAGTGTAATGTATAGTTAATTGGGAAAGGTCAATTAGTTTTCTGAGTAATATGTAAATCTGTTGTTTGCAGCAGAGTAAAATATAAATAAATAATTCGATTTCCTTGACTTGAGTGCGTGTAATTTGTATAGCAGACAAGTGTACCTTGACAGTATCTGTACGGTAGAAATGTAAATAGTTTTTATCACTACAGAAAATTTAATGTAAATCGGTAATAATATTTAAACAAAACAGACGTGATAATTATAGGACAGTTTTAATTTGAATAAATTGACTACCGTTGTAGTAGTGTTGTACATTTTTAAGCTTAATTTCAAATTTGAATGTCAATAAGGCAGGAAATCGCCCAACAAGGTAGTGCAACCAACCTGGGTGTAGCGCGTTATTTTTGCATTAAATTAACTGCGACTATAAGTAATTGCCTTCCATTATATTTATAAACATTTTAAAAGATCGGGTTCGGAATATTACTTGTTTACTAGATTATTTATGCTGGAAAATATTAAAAATTTGAAAAAGATTAACTTAAAATCAGGACTGTCTCAGGAACCAGTATCAGGTGGCAGCAGGAAGGTAGAGGATCTTAAAAACTTCGAAATGATTTTTTCTTAAAATTCAATTCCATGTGAAAGTTTTAGTTTCAGTAGCTTCGGAATTAGAAAGGTTACATATTTTTATGTTCCTTGTTCCTCAAACATTCAAACGATGCCATGCATGGTATACCTGCACCAAACATTTGTTATTTATTTTGCTTTTTAGGTTTTGGTGTACTTACTTCCTCTAAAATATTTGTTCATAAATGAACGAAATAATAACAAAGGCAATGAAATTTACAATTGGGTTACATTAAGGGCATATCATAAAAAGCAGATATATTAATAAATAATGTCTGAAATTTAAAAAGAATGATTTCATAATGTCACTAAACATCTTGATGGTCGTTCCATTCATGTTCGTCTACACTTTTTGTTCGAACCCTGGCGATTTAAACCATTGAAAAAAGAGATCAACGTACGTGCAATGGAATTCGTTTATTATGACTCCGCCTATATCGACCAACCGGTTAATATGAAGTAATTGCAGTGTTAAGTTTGGTTTTCATATTAAATTCTTCATAAGGAAGTTTGGATATAATGACTCTCTTTAAAATGACATCATTTATTATGACTGATTCTCAAGAAATCATATCCGGCTATAGTGACCCAAATGATTAATAATAACATTTTCGCTCATTTTTCTAACCCTCTTATGTATATTGATATTATAATTCATCGTTCTTTTTCTTTTTCTGTTAATAAATATATACAATTTGTAGTTTTTCTCTCTATTAAACTAAACGAATTAACCGAAATAGAAAATTGTTGATTTTCTAAGACTGTGCTTTGTATGACGCCCGCTTAATATAACGTGTTTGTCATTTCGCTACGATGTTATTATAAGCGGATCCTGCTGTATATGAGTGTAGGTATACAGAAGTTGTAAAATGATTGTTATTATAAGGACTTGAATCGAAGCTAGCCAACGAAGCACGCAATGCTTAATGTTATCTTGTGCTGTTTGCGTAATCTTCGTCTTTTATTTTGTTTTTTAATATTGTTATATTTTGTAGCGGTATCGACTTTTATGAGATGAATATTGCGCTATTAGGTTTCTGCAGTGCAGGAAGAAAGTAAATTATACTCTATCTGGTAGCGTAGCGTGACTTTTAATGAAATTATCAACTTTTTTGCTTCAACCACATTCTACATCTTCGTGTTAACTGAAGCGAACACAGGTGTAAACAACTTTCCAGGTACTAACAAACATTTAAAACAACAGAGGCCTAAAAAGATATTACAGACGAATTCGGTTATAACGAACCAAATTTAATGAATGCTTAATACATACTTAGATATAACGGGGATTTTTGTAGGTGTCTATGTGTTTGTTTACTCATACGATTCATTTTATTACTACCCGCGAACGGGGAAAGGTTTTTGTGCGAAATTCGTTCGTCCATGTCGAAAAAACTTTAGTTATAATGGGTACATGGAATTGTTTTCTACTGATCCAATTTACCAGCAAGGAAACGAAAAATCTGTGACTGTGATACCTATTAGCTAGTCAGTTGTTATTGCAAGCCCATAATTATAATAAATCTCAAGGAAACAATTTGAATAACCTGATAATTAATAATAACCTTAAGATGTAAATTATTTCCTATGAATGTTTGATTTAAACAGTAGCATTGGTTTCTTCCGCTATTTCAAAAGGGAAATCATTAATATGCTTGCTTACGTTTTTAATAAATAATTCTTATGCCCTCAATAAACACCAATACAACGTCTTTTTGTGCTGCTAAGCCAACAAAAGTTAAGAAATTGCCTTAATTACTACTTAAAAATTAATACTAGATATTTCTGTATATAGAAGGGCACAAGCGGTAGCGTAACACAACCGTTTAGTTTAGACTGCAAACAGTGAGCTATAATAATAACAGGGTGGCCGTTGACTAGGAAAACCAGAAAAATGGGGATTATCGGGAAATTTAATGCAACCAGAAAAAAGCATGAAAAGATCGGGGAATTTCGGAAAATATATAATATGTACGATTTGTAGGAACATATGCACTTTTTTTGAAATGAAACTTTACGCACGGTAGGATAAGTTCGTTTCATGCCAGTTGCTATGTAACGAAATCATGCAACGGATGTCCCCCCTCTACTCGGCCACGTAGTCGAGTTCGTAGCGGGGATCGCTTGAGCCGTGAGCGCGCTTCAATGCAACGTTCGTTACAGGCAACTCCGGCATGTATAGTGTAAAATTTAAATTCATAGTGTACAAATAATACCATTAAACCAATTCCTTAGCCCCTATCTCGGTATGTTTGTATGTTTGAAGCAGTTTCACTTCAGTAGCGTGTTGTATAATTGCACGTTGTATTTTTTTTATAACAACGAATGTTAATCGTATGTTTCCTGAACGAAATACAACTTATTATTCTGAGGGGGTAGGTACTTTTAATAAATGACCAAAAAGCTGAGGCAAAAAATGGATTAAAAATGAGTGTATGCCTATGTCAAGGTGCATCACATAATATGAAACTGAGCAGCACATTCCTATAAATCATCGCATCACCTCGAAAAGAAAAACAAAATATGGCATATGAAACTAGCATACTTTGATGCTTATTTAATTAATGCGAATGTTTATTAAATCAGATCTGTTGCAATTGGCAATCGCTGCCTTCGAAAGATGTTTAGCACGTTGCAATTGATGTACAGAATAATAATCCGTTTTCCACCCCTACAGCAGATGTCTTGTTTGACTGAAAGTTTTCCATTTTGTTCGTTTCTATTTATTGCTTGAAGAATGTATTTTGGTATGTATGTATATGTGCGTGTGCCATATGTTAAACACGTTGAGCAACTCCAAACAAACCTATCACGTTTCACAGTCGACCCCTTGCAGACACAAGGCCTTTGGGACATGCATTCTGTTTTTCTGCTGATGGTAATAGTACCTAAAAATGGAAATTCCTTTTGGGATTTATGTGCATAATGTTCGCTGCATAGTATTCGTATACAAGCCAAGGTTATTTTAAAGATGAATGTATGTATGTGTGCGGCCTCTCTGGTGGGGCCTCGTGGGTATGACACTCCGACTTGAAAAACCTTGAAAATTTATGATTTGGTCGAAAAAATCAGGGAATGGTGTTTCATTGGTCAGCAGGGATTTTTTTAATATCCCAAATAAAATAAGGATAGACCTATTGTGAGCGTTACCTACTGTGTGAAATCGTAAACCAAAATAAACCGAGGAGTAATTTCCGACCAATTGTTAGATACCTCTCATATTTTATCACTGGTCCATGTTATTTAATACCAAAGTTATGTATCTAATGTTAAAAGTGCACTTTTCAATAACTTCTTTCAAATAACACTAATCTTAACCTTATATCATATTTCTTGTAACTTGTATTCATTTCGTTTTCCATTTTTTTGTGTCATTAATTNTTTACAAGATAATAGTTATGTTTTTATTGAGTTTTATTATTTTAATAAAATGATTATTCAATGTTTATTAAATATGTAACCAATTTCATTTTTTTACTAAATATGTAAACAATTCTCTGCCATAATTCCTTAGATTTTAATATGCACAGCTGCAGTTCTATACCAGTTCATTAAATTTGTAAATTTTCCATTTACAGTCTTTTAATTAAAATATGTAAACAATAGTATATAAATAATACACATTATCACACAAAAGAAAATTTGACTTTGTTCCTATTTAATTAATTCGTTTGTGTTTGTTTTATTGATTCATATTCATTAAAAAATAAGGAATTAAGGCATAATTGTGTTAAATCCATACATATAATATAACAGCTAAAAAAATATTTTCAATAAAATATATTTATGTTAAAAAATTGGCAAATGTTCATCTATAAATAGTTTTATTTGCCATTGCTATGCTCAATGCGTTTTCTCATTACACCGTAAGTATTAATTAGATATTTAAAAATAGATACATCAAATATGTCGGTACATGTACAAGTTATTTTATTATTGTACTTTTCTCTTTTTCAGTGAAGGTCTATCAAAATGTTGCTTCATTCCGCCTGCTTGTGAATTGTGAAATTTTAAATTCTGAGAAGTTTCACTAACCCAAGGTGAATCAAATTGAGTTGTATCTTGGTCAACCAGATGCGTATATTTGGTTCGACCAGATCTCCCAAAGTTCTTAACTTGCATCACCTTTGGAAGAATTGTTTTGTCAAAATGATCTTCCAAAGTTGCCTGAGAAAAGTCTCGTTTATATACGTCATCTTCTTTATCCAAATAAAAAGCTCCTCTGTGGTAGTACTTCTGTAAAAATTTATATTTGCCTTTTATAGGCTTATTTATAACTTGTTTAGGATTAAGACGCAATTCCAGTCGCCTTTCTTCTTCAGTCATATTTCGTAATCTTTCAATTTCTAGCCTCTCTTTCTCTTGCCTGTAAAAAAATTTTATATTTTGTTTACATGTTTTTTATGATAGTGGTAAACTTACGCTTCCCTTTCTTCTCGGTCTCTTTTTATTCGTTTTAACTCCCTGAGCTTCCATGCTTCATATTCAAGTTCATCATTCTCATCATCTGTATTTACATCATTAAGATTTGGTTCATTGTCTTCTTTACTTTTGGCTTGTTGCTCTTTTCTAATTGATTCTTCTACCATTCGTAGAGTTTGTCTTCGCCTTTCTTCTGCTTGCTTTTGTGCTTCCAATTCCAATTGTTTCTGTTTTTGGGCTTCTTTTTCCTTCTCTAAAATAGTTATTCTATCTCTTTTACGCACAAAAACAGGTTTTAAGCGAGGCCCTGTTTCCTCTTCTGAATCGGAATATTCTTCATATTCTGAACTTTCTGAAGATTCTGAATCTGATTTTTCCTCTTCTTTAGCCATAAATTCCTCCTCATGTTGTTTAGTGAGAACACGGGCTTTTAGCTGAGCTCTTTTCTTTTCTATTTCACTATCACTTAATTCAGCTTCAGATTCATCTTCATCTGGTGCTTCCAATGTATGCTTCGGTTCTAATAATAAATAGTTATACTTTTAGGCTAATTAAGCTAAGTAAATTTTACCTGGCAAATGAATTTGTTCTTCCTCGTCAGATTCTTCTAAAACTTCAGGTTCATGGATGTGCCTTCTTCGTTCTGGCCTATCTTCACTTTCAGCTTCTCTTATTTTAAGACGCCGTAAGCGGGGATCGTTCATATCATCATCACTAAGTGCAGGTTCAGGGGATGGTTGGTGCACATTGGGATGATTTCTTTTCTCCAAAAAATCATCATCGTCACTTTCCCAATCTGATAAAGTATCTTGGGCATAATCTGGTCTTTTTCCTGACACGTATCTGTGAACTTTTACTTTCTGCATAGAAAGTTCCCCTTGAAAAAAACAAATAAAATTAAGACTTAAAAACACTTTTAGAAGACAAATTCACCTTTTTCATTGCGAACAGGCACTGCTCCCGCAGTACTTTGAATACCAAATGTAAGAGGAGGATTCATTATAAATATTGTTTTTTGAGTTTCGAAAATTCTAGCTAAAATGCAATAAAAATCTTTACACAATTGCTTTTCACAAATTAATCACATCCAAACAAACATTAAGGTTATGATTGTATCAGTTGTCAATTTTAGAACAGTCTCGCCAACATGTAAAAATATTTCTGGGTCACATTGACATTGCAGTTGATAGAATGCTTCTGGTTGTTTATGTCTGTTATTTTTTAGCATATTTTTAATACTTAAAGAATGTAAATATTATTAAATTACGTTTTAATTATTCATTAGTTGCTTTTATGTGATTTAGTACTTATACATTGTTACTTTGCCGTTAAGTAGTAAATGTAGCAGGTTTTCAATTTTCTTTAGCCCGTTTCAATTTAATATGACATATAAAAAAGATTATATGCGCTGTTAGCACAGGGCAAAGTAGTATTACGTAAATGAAAGTTAGTGTCAGCAATTTCTTGTGCTGAAGTGTACGATGTGTTGCATACCTATTTACAAACAATTCCTTTAAATTTCAATCATTGATTACTATACATATATTTAAAAACCATAATGGCCGACATCAGTGACAATGCAACAACAATTGAATAAGAATGATGGCCGACACAGCAACAATTAGAAAAGAATGATGGCCGACAAAAGCAACAATTACAAAAGAATGATGGCCGACAACAGCAACAATCAGAAAAGAATGATGGCCGACAACAGCAACAATTAGAAAAGAATGATGGCCGACAAAAGCAACAATTACAAAAGAATGATGGCCGACAACAGCAACAATTAGAAAAGAATGATGGGGCCGACACTACGTCATAGTATTGTTCACAAAAGTGAATTTCGACTACTCGAAGCAATGTGCTAACAGTTTCGAGCTCACAGCGGCTGCTAGGGGGGAAGAAGTATTGGTTTATAATTTGATTGTACATGTACAATTACAATGACTGTCTTTATATCCACATAATGGTTAGTTCTATAGTTTAAATGAACTCTTAGGTTGGTGGTGCCGAAACACCTGTTCTGTTTTCTCATTAGAGTTTGCGCGAGAGATGTGTTCATGTACGGAACGGACGCGGTTGTTGTTTTAGTAATTGGATTTAAAGATTAGTTAGTGGTTTTTGCTTGAAATGTGACAGAACATTGTGTTTTTGTGAAGAATTATTCTGTTTAGTTACCGTGTTTGTTGTGTTTTCTCATTGAAATTGTTGTTTTCTTCTGTTATAAGTACTTGAATACACTTTTGGAACTTAACGTTGCAAGGATACTTACAGGGAAAGGTATGAATTTAAAATTTATAAGTTTAAACTAAATACTAAACTGATAATTGCTATGTTACGATTGTTGTTGTACTTTTGTGATTTGCAAATTATGCTGTTCGCTAATTGCTGATTGTAATACCATATAATTGAAATTTATTATTTTTTTTAATAATGTTCTTTTTATTAATAGAATGTCAATTATTTGAATATGTATTCAGAAAAGATATTATTCTCGAAGAATTCATATTCGTTTACTACGTAATGGGAAGAACGAGATAGGTGCGGCAAATTCTTGCTTTTCGTGCCAGCGGCTGATTTTAGTAGTCTTACTTACATATCTGAAGGTAGGGCACCAGTTACATGTAGTATTATGTAAAGATTCTCACGATCATGAAGGATAAAAGTATGCAAGAAACGAACATGTTTGTATTTTCATGCAGTTGAAGATTTCGCAAACAACTATTTTGCAGACGATTTCATTTTGTTTAGGTCAACGACTTGCGTTAAAGTGTGCCCTGCTTTCTTACTTTTCTTATAAGCTGTTGGTCAGGACAATTCAAAAGAGACAAATGACTGTATATTTTTTAAAGAAAATATCCTATGAAGTTATCACAACCAAATATTTAAAAATCTAGAGTAATGAGTACTAATGTCTGCTGTCTGCCTCTATGTTCACATACCTGTATTATTACCGCAATAAAAGTTTGGTCTTTAGTTCAATAAATAATACTTCAGATATTACAACACTCCAGCCCCTAGCAAAATATTGTGCTTTAGAGGAAAGGGCAGGGCAATAAAAAAATTAAAAAAGTACCTTGTCCAATTTGCCTATGTTTAAGTTTCATCCATATATTCATCATATCGTTTAGGTCAAGCTCGCTTTTTATCATTAGGGCATCAAGCCTCTCCTTTTTGTTGTGGACCTAATCGAAATTTTACCTATTTTAAGTCAACTAAATTTTCTTTTTCGTTCGAAGCTACCGAATAGCTAGTTGTAAATATTAACTGACAAAGATGAAAAGTTTCCCCAATAGCTATTTTATATTTAGCAGGTACCTTCCGTGATGCTTTGCATAAAAGAGCAATCGAACTTCTATCAAGTATCTCCAACTGCGTAAGAATGTTAATGAATGAGGCCTTTGGTCTGGTGGATACCGCACAATCAGTTTTTTAATATTTCCACTTGTTTTTGTCTAAAGGATTTATCAAAATGTTTGATATTGCTGATTCAAACGTTCTACAGCCATTTTGAGATTATCTTCCATAAACATTGTATTTAAATCGAAAACGGTTAAAAATTCTTTTTTATAAAACATATTTATATCAAAGCCCGCTGTGTTGGATCCACAGTTATCAATTTTTACCGGAAATCTTTTTGGTGGTCTTTTGAACTGTTCTGGATTAATTTTAACTTTTCTGACAAGAATTCTGGCACTTTCTATTAAGTTTAGATTTTCATCTTCCTTTTGCTTTATTGACATGAGGGATTCTCTAGTTCCATTAATAATGTTATTACGTCTATAATGCTCCAGTCTTCCTTTCCTTTTGTTGTTTAATTTGGCTCGAATTCTTGACTAAAAGTCCGATTTCTTAATGATGCTGCACACCGGACTAAAGAGCGATATTACTTTTATGGTCCCTATGACCTTTTTTAATCTTATTACAACCCGTTCACGAAAGCTCCTCGAGTTTCTAAAGCGGTTTTTACACGAAAAGTTTATTTTTAATATATTTTCTAATTAATTTCCACAAGTTGAAAAAGCCAACTGAAGCAGATATTGAAATGAAAACATCCCCCGGCATCCCTCCTGGTTAGGGGCCTGATAACAATGGTTTAATATGTGTATACTAAAATAGAGTGCATTGAAAAACAATTGTTTCCAGTGTCGCAAAAAGTTAGATAGATCTTTATTGGTTTCTGTGTAGACTTGGCATGTAATAAAATTACAAAGTTGTTTAAAAATTAACATACCTACCTAACTACATTTTTTAAGTTTTTAATCGTTTTCTTGATCTTTTCAGTAGATTTTTGTTCTCATATGTGACGTATACTAAAATTTACAATCCTTAATTGCTTTCTGTTATTGTTTTATGATCGCGTTGACGTTTTTTGTGTACTGCATTTGAATTAGCAGTAAATTTCAAATAAAGGTTTTGTTATCTCGGTTCTTGGCTCGTAGTGGTCTATATTGAATACACTCCCTAATTTAAGTAAATATAAGAGTGTTTTTTTAAAACTTGTAGAAACACGGAGAAAATGAAAAACGAAAATTTACCTAAATATTAAAGCAATATTTACAATTTATCCCAAAAGTACTTGTGTTTGG